TTGTAATATCTTCAAAGCTTCGTAACGTAAAATCTTCACTTAAAATTTGGCATGCTCAGAATGAAAAGCAGCGAAAGGAAGCGGAGGATAAAATAGTAGCTGAAATATCCTTATTGGATATTAAGGATGAGAATTTTGGTCTCTCCTYRGATGAAATCGMACGAAGAGGTTCTTTGAAGACAGACTTACTTAATTTGTATGTAAGGGAGGAGCAAAACTTGATACAAAAAAGTAAGGTACATTGGCTGAAGGCAGGGGATGAAAATAGTAATTTTTTTCATAGRTTCTTAGCTGCCMRCAAAAGGAAGGCCCGGATTTCTGAGATTAAGGATGGAAATGGTGTATCTCTTGTTAACCAAAGAGAAATTGAGAAGGAAATCTCCAGCTTTTTCGATGCCTTGTACTGTAGTGAAGGAATTTCACGTTTTACTCCAAGAGACATCTCTTGGAGGCCTATCTCTTGTCAAGACARTAGCTGGTTACAAAGGAATTTTGAGGAAGCTGAGGTTTGGTCTGCTCTAAAAWATTTRGGAAGAAATAAGGCGCYAGGGCCAGACGGATTTACCATTGAATTCTTCATCARATTTTGGCAGCATTGGAAAGGARATTTTATGCGACTTTTTGCTGAGTTCTTTCGAAATGGCCAATTGAATGMTTGTGTTAAAGATAATTTCATTTGCCTTATTCCTAAGAAAGATTTAGTGGAAAAGGTAAAGGACTTTAGACCAATAAGTCTTTCAACCTCCACTTATAAAATTATAGCCAAAGTTCTCACCGAGCGCCTCAAGAAGGTGATCCCTAGCACAATTTCTATGAACCAGAGTGCTTTTATTGAAGGAAGACAGATCCTTGATCCGGTGTTAATTGCAAATGAACTTGTAAATTTCTATAAAGTCAAGAAGAAGAGTGGTTGGATGTTAAAACTTGACTTAGAAAAAGCCTTTGATAGAGTGGATTGGGATTCTCTTGATGCTGTCCTTCGAAAGAAAGGGTTTGGAGAGAAATGGATTAGCTGGATTAATGGTTGCATCAGAGGGACAAAATTTTCAGATCATGAAGCTTGGGATTCAACCACCTCCTCTTGGAGGATTGAACCACCTCCTCTTGGAGGATTGAAGTTAGAAGGTCGCTAAAAGATGGAGAATTTGCTGAATATATTGAATTATTGGACAATCTGAATTTGGTTTTGTTAAATGATGATGAAGACAAACTTTCTTGGAATCTGAATAAAAATGGGACTTTTTCTGTCASCTCCTTATGTAACTCTAAGGCTCCCTTTGCTGCATTACCACGAGATTTTTGCTCAAAGCTYTGGAATTYTGGTAGCCCCAAGAAGGTTAATGTCCTTGCATGGATTCTTATGTTTGGCAAGGTCAATACAGCTGAAATTATGCAGAAARAGATACCATATATGTTTCTCCAGCCATCTGCTTGTGTTTTTTGTGTAAACTCAAGCGAAAATCAGCTGCACACTTTCTTTTTCTGCCCATTTGCAGCAACCTGTTGGTCTGCCTTTTTTGGTATCTTCAATCTACCTTGGGTTATGGACAAGTCAGTCTCGAACTTGGTTTTTCAGTTGCTGTTTGGTCTACACATGAATCCTAGAGCTACATTACTTTGGGTCAACGGTCTTAAAGCCCTTATTTATGAATTATGGTTCGAGTGCAATCAAAGGACCTTCGAAGGGTTAAAAAGGCATCCGTTGGAATGTTTTCACATTGCCAAATTCAAAGCTTCTCAATGGTGTGCTCTTTCCAATCTTTTTGTCAATTACTCACCTAGCATGATTGATTCTAATTGGGATGCTTTTAGCTCTCCTTTGTAATCTTATTTATTTTGTTTCAACTTTATGTTTTATCTTTCTCACTCCTTTGGAGTTTGTATCCTTGAACATTTTATGTTCCTTTTCATTTATCAATGAAAAGTTTGTTTCCTGTTCAAAAAAAAATAGACACAAAAAATTATATATTTAAATATGTATAAACTACCATAAAGAAATAACCTCCTTCAAAGATAAATGTGCTTTCAATTTAAAAACATCAAATGTAATGTATGCTGGTCCATGGGGAGAGAGAGACAGAATTTAGAATGAAAAAAAGGAATTATTATGTTGGTTTATAAAGAACTCAAATACCTCTTCTTTTCAGCTTCACTTGGAAAATTGATTGTAAATTTGCAAAGGGAGGCAAGAAATGAGTTTAATGGTTCGACAGCATGGAGAACTCCACATGCCTGTGATACATCACAATTAATCATGATTTAGGTAGAGTGCATAAAATAAATTCATATTTAAATGAAAAGTTATATGTTTCATAAATATTTATCTCCAGTTTAATTTGGAGAGTTAATTTGGTGAGTAATTTCTTCCATAATTTACTTTTGCAATTCCTACTAATTTGTTCTGTCTTTATTGTTTTCCTCATCCATGTAAATAATTAATATGATTATACTTATTGCTTGATAGTAAAGCTCAAGTGATAGAGAGAATAAATAAAATCCTATTTAGAGCCAACTCCCAGAAGTTTTCATCAAAAGAGTTCTTCACGATCCACGTAATGTCCGATTGGAAAAAAAAAATGATCCACGTAATGTTCTTGTCAAATTATTTTTGTAACTTTAGAGAACTTTTTATCACTTTCATCGAGTAGGTTGGTCGGTTACAAGTTTGATTTTCTGCCTCTTCAGATTATTTAGTTGGAATGTCAGTACATGTTTATGGTGCATCAATTAATTAAACATATCTCCTCTCATCTCTCTAATGTTATATCTTCTTGCTAGCTACTTTTTTATTTTTTATAACAAGATAGGAACTTCTCATTGAATAGCTAATTGATGCAACAGCTAGAATGATTATCAAAAACCCACGGAAGCTTCAAGGTTTTGAATAGAGAAGACCTACGACAAGCAACATATGGACAAGGATAGAAGAGATGATATTGCCTCAAGGAGTTTTTCTTAATAACCAAACCCCAAAAGCTTATTAATCTCGGGCTACCTCAAAGGGGAATATTGAGATAGGATATAGGGAAAAACAAGATAGAGCAGCTTAGATAGCCTTCCACTTTTGATTGGCCAAGTTTGATGTCCACCACCATGGTAGATTTGTTAAGGTTTTTTTTTTAACAATATACGAAAGATTAATGAAAAGAAAAAAAAATTGTTCAAATGATACAATCTCCCAACGGGAGAAAAGAAAAAAAAATGTAAGATCCGAAAGAGGGAGATACAACACCAATTGAACAAGAAAGATTAACGATATAAAAACATGTGTTATTTTCAGAACGAGTCTCCTACTTTCAAGGAACCAATTTCGAAGACTTTAAGGATCTTGAACATCATAAACATTAGCAAAGACATCTTTATCTCCAGGAAAAAAGGCTTTCAATTTCTAATAATAATTGGCCCAAATTTCAGCAACCTCTCGATCACGTTCAGCATGTAACTTCAACTTTCTTCTAAAATGAGCTTCTATACAAATAGCCCTTTCTTTGCAAATTAACCATCCAAAGATATTAAACTTTAACTTAGGTGGGACACTATGCCAAATCACTACCATCAAGTTTGAAAACTTTGAAGTTATGTTTGCACTTGTGAGGAATACCATCTTAGATAGTGATAGGACCAAGATATATTGAAATATAAAAGATGTATGAACTATAATATAACCCCAAGTATTAGAGGTACTTGGAACCTCCCTCGAGATATCACTCGAGCCTAAACCACTAAACAATGGCATACTTTGATCCTTATCCCTCCACACTACTTAACAGAACCCTACTAACAACTTTCCTTATAATAAATAATATGCCCTTAATACTCTAATAATAACTCTAATTACCCTTTAAAGGACATTCCTATTATTACTCCGTCGTCAAAACACACCTTGTCCTCAAGGTGTGGTTAAACAAAAACTTTATTTGTTAACACCCACAAAATTTGAAACCTAGCCTTGCAAAACCTAATTGAAATGACTGCTGTGGTGAAGCGGTTGTGGAACATCGGTGGATGATGGCATGTGAAAGCCGGGACGAACGGCAATTGGTAGTGGGACTTAAGGAAGATGGCGACGCAGTGATGGTGGTAAAGTCTTGACGGGTGGCCGGCGATCAGCTGACTGTCGATGATGGTGGATCGGCACAGTAAAGATGGTGTGGCTGCCAATCAGTGCTCGCGATGGGTGACGGTCGATGACGGTAGCACAAATGTCAATGGTGGTTGACGTTTGTCAAAGGTAGTACAGACGAAGGCGATGCCTAGCAGTCGGTGAACGACAGTAGTAGCACAAGCGGCAGTAACCAGGTAGCATAGGTGAAAAATAGGGGAAGCGGCAGCTAGGGCAATTTCCTACACGTGGGTAGTTATGCTTAGTCTGGTTGGGTCGGTTTCTAGGTTATCCACGTAGGACAATCCAGCCCAAATTCCACCAACCATTTCAAAATTTGCTCTAGAAAGAAAATGGACCTAAATGCAGCCCATCCCCAAGTAATTTCCCAACCCCATGGTCCCAATTACTTCTAAATCCTCCTCCCTCCTTACGTTTCACATATGGATTCCCCACTCTCTTTTTTCTTCTTTTTTTTTTTTTGAACACGATACGAACTTCACATTGATTAATGAAAAGGAACAAAAATTGTTCAAATGATACAATCTCCCAAGGGAAGAGAGGGAAGAAAAGAGAAAGCAAGAACCCGAAAGAGAAATACAACCCCACGGAAGAAGAAAGATAAAAGACAAACACGAACATTGAATAAAAGCTTTAGGAAAAATCGATTGTTCAAGCATATGATAAACCTCCCACTTGCATGGAACCAGTCTCCGAAATACTTAATGAACTTTGACCTCAGGAACCACTTCAAAACAAACTTCATGTTACAAGGTTATGCAACACTGAAACTTCTAACTCGTTCAGCTTCAAACAAAGAACTTATAACCGGTCCTTATTTTGCCAAAACCATTCTAACTCCCCGATAAAAAAATCTGATCAAGAAATAACATTAATGGAGCATTCTATTCTAACAGCAGCTCATCAGGATGCAAAACTGAAAGGCTCCCTTAATACTCTTAATACTCTAATACTTTTTTAGTATAACATGTGGGGATGGAGTTCAAACACACGATCTTTAATACTCTAATACTCTAATAATAATGCTAATTACCCCAAAAGGGCCACTCCTATCCGATAGTAGTTTTTCTAGGCACGCTTTAAAAATGCTTTTATAATAATATCACTAAAATTTTCTCGCTTGCATAGAACCAGAGAAACATAGAGCAGAAAACAGTTTCTAGTCTCCTTATTAGTTTGGCCGCATCAAATTTTGTCCACCTCTCTATGTAATGGATTAGGAAACAAGGTTACAACTAAATATTAATAATCATGTGTAACGTATTACAAAGCAAGGTTATAACTAGATATCAGTAATTATATTTAGTCACCTACTTGTGTGAAAGCTTGATATCCTTTCAGGATTTCCAAGACTATAGCCTCTCCCTGTGATCTTTCAACAGAAGCTTATTTCAGGTTCCGCACCAGTTATGAACATAGTAACAGAAGAAAGATTAATGTACCTAGTAAGAATAAGAGACAATGCATCAAGTATTGTCAACCACAAAGAATCAACCATTGAAATGCAGACACTTGCTGTTCTTCCGTTACACTTTTCTGGTGGATCATAATCAGACCTAGGAGATTCAAGCTGTAATATCAAAAGAACACAAGAAAAGACGAACCCATTTTAATATTGCATTGTAATAAAAGACATGATTGTAAAGTATATCAAAACGGAAAAATGAAAACGAAGATACCTCTCCGAGGTCAACTGCTTCATCAGTTAAAGTAGCCACAGTAAATACAACACCTAAAAGACCCTCCACGGCCAAGGTTATTGTATGCGCTTCACTAGCAACCAACACTGTGGCATTTGATGCATCACCATCGAGACTCCACTCTATCCCTGCAAAAAAATGTGTGTTTTCATCTTCTGACTTCTGAGTCCAAGTGTCAAGAGAAACTTGCAATTTTTCTTTAACAAAATATAAATTTTCACTGATGAATGAAAAGGCACAAAATATTAAAGAAAACAACCTCCAAAAGGGAGAAAAGAGAGACCAATAATCAACCAAAAATAAGAACAGGTCAAAATAATAAGAAAAAGCCAGCAACATACAAACAAAAGCCCCTTTTATCCCTTTTTTATCTTAGGTCTCAGAACATTACACAGACTACTCTTTCATCGCAAGATATTGGTTTGAATTGGTAGGTATTTATAACCCCCTTTTTTATCTTAGGTCTCAGACACCTTCTTTTACTTGTTTTTGTACTATACTTTTTGCTACTTTACTTTCATTATATGAATGAGATCCTTCGTCAACTTCAAAAAAAGTAAAAAAAATGAACGAAGCCAATAACATATCGAGCAACAGCCACAAGAACTACTCCCAAAGCTTGCTAACTGATTAAGAAAAAATAAATGAAGAGAAATTAGAAATTTTCAAAAACAACCCTGGACCCCAATTATTTTGTCGTGAACTTAATTCCTTGGGTTACTAGCCCATTTAGATTGTGTTTGGATTAACTTCAAAGTGATTTTGGATGAACAAAAGTGGATTTTTTTTAATCTAGCATGTTTGGTAACAAATAAAAAACCCTTTTGAAATAATCAAATTAGTTTATAATAATCAACTTGTGTCATCCTCAAAAGAAAGAAATAAGACCCATAAATTGGAACCAAGTGCTAGTTCTTACCCGAAGAGATTTCCACGACAACTGGGGTAAAATTTTAGAAACTTTAGAGAGTCAACTCCAAGTAAGTCTTATTCTTAATGCTTTCCACCCGAAAAAGCCATTCTTCGGTGCCCCAATGAAGATCTGGCCCATTTGTTGAGTATGAATAAAGGCTGGGTTACTTTTGGTGATTTAACTCTTAGAGTGGAAAAATAGAACATGGAGAAACACGGGTATAGCACTGTGGTCCCATCCTATGGTGGATGGATAAAGTTTAGAAATATTCCCCTGCATCTTTGGAGTGAAGATTTGTTTCAGAAGATAGGGAACTGTTTTGGAGGTTTTATTGATTATGTTGATGAAAATGCTGCTAGATTTGAATGTATGGACGTTGCAATTAAAGTTAAAGCCAATTATTGTGGTTTTGTTCCAGCTGGTCTCACCATTAAAGAAAATGAAGATGTTTTCCACGTGCAGACAGCAACGTTTGAAGATATTAAGTTTTTGGTCGGAAAAGAGGTCTCCATCCAAGGCGGTTTCTCGCCGGAGGCCGCCGCAAATTTTCACTGTGGTCCGGCCAGCCACCCGGGACCTAGTTCGGTGGATAGATGGAGGGTGGATGATGGATTCTCTTACCCGGTGGTCCACATCTTCCCTCCACTGTTTGAAATTTGTGCAGCCTCGAAAACAGATAAAAGTTTGACAGATTTAGGGCAGAAAGGACAGCCTACTTTTTGTCAAAAGTTCCCACTGGTGAAAAAAGTACAAAAGGGACCTTTTATAGAAACGAGGACTGTCAAATGCAAAAGCAAGCTCAATCCTATCACAAAGAAGGGATCTTGAAAAAACACTCCGATCTCACAGCTCTAAACACGGTTCCCCAGCCAAGGAAAGTGGCTTTTACAAAAGGACAAAAGGGTTCCCCATCCTTCCAAAAAGGTATAGTCTTTTCAACTGAAGAGGAAAGGCATCAGAAGAGAAAATTGGCTAGGGAGGAAGAAATAGCGAAAAAAGAAAAGAAAAAAGGTAAACAAATTGAGGTTTCATCAGAATCCTCTTGGTCCAGTGAAGAAATTGATTGTCCAGACAGTCCACAGCCCTTTGACTTTGTGCAAAATTTTCCAGAAGGTTACCAAGCCTGTTTTGAGGAGTCGCATGACAATGACCTTGATGGACAGGGGAAGGAGTTGATGGTAATTGAGGCAGAACCTTTAGCTAGTAACGACCTTGATAGGGCGGAGGAAGAATCACCAGAAGTCTCTTCGCCACAAAAG